AAGAAAAAAAAAAAACTTTTTTTTCTTTAAAAAAAAGGTCTTTTAAAAAAAAAAAAAAAAAAAAAAAAAAAGCTTTGCATTGCTCTGTGCATCAAAATGAACTGCACTATGGGTCTTGGCTAGCACACCTTGTTATTGTTTTATATTAAGGCTGGTATGCTAGCAAGTGTGGGGGTAAGAGAGAGACCAGCCAGCTGCAGTGTCCTCAGGGCGCTCCTAGCACTGACCTCTGCTGTGCTGTGCTCTCATGGGTTTCTCATGCTGCCCTTGTAGCTGCGGTGGCTGACCAGAACTATAGGGCCTCTGTAATTGAGGCTCTTAGTGTTTTCATTGTAAGCCTTCACTTCATCCAAAGAAGTCCAGTGGTTTATTCTGAAGTGTCTGAGAAGGGAGTATAAGGCCTTTCACAAAGCTGCCTGGTACATTTCCTTTGAGGAGGCAGACTTCTTCTCTCCACCCAGTGTTCAGCTGTGCCAGTAACAAAATGAGTGTATGGCATACTGAGCATGGGGTTTCTTTGTTGTTCTAGGTCTTTCCTCTTTGTGATATTTCCCATCTGACTTAGTTTTCACCACCTGCAAGTTATCTTGTTCCAGAGAAAATAACCAACTTGAAAATAGAACTTCAGCAAAAGAAAAACCAAACTGATTTGTCAATATTAGAATAATATTAAATAGTGAAAACCTAGCTTGTGAGAACAAGGGACCATCTGATCGCTGTTGAGAATCTCCAAGGATATAGTGTATAAATAGCTGATGACTTCACAGGGAAGCTGCGCTGCACTCTGAGCTGAATAAAACCGAAGCAGCTGTATTAGGTTGATCCTTCTGAGATTAGCATGAATGAGTTCTGCCTCCCCAAGGTGACGCGGCGCAAACACGAGTGGGCAGCGTGTCCGTTCTCGTTCCCTCGCTGCCAGTCGGGACAGCAGGATCGGTGGTCTCTCTGGGCTGCGGAGCCTTGGCTGCCCTCCCACCTCTGCAGACTCTTCAGCCCCTTCTCTTTTCCAGTGAGGACAGGGCTGGAGCATTTTGCCGGGAGCATGGAAAGCTCGCGCTTTGCTTTGCGTGGCTGTGCTGTGATTAGTGAAGGATTTCAGGCTTGAGCTGTCAATCCAAACCTTTGCGGACACACGGTGCTAGACAACCGTTAGGTTTGTAGTACAATCCCCTATTTATCGAGACTATGCCCTAGTATTAACTCTTCTCTGGCTTCTGGCTAATGCAGGCAAATATTCTTATTTGACTAGATAATTTGACTATTTGTTCAGTTTCTCTCCTCGGCAACGTTTTCCCTTGAGGGTGCGCGTTTCAGGCTTTCCCTTTGTTATTTAGTGAGGTCCTTTGTCCTGAAAGCAGACTTCTAACGGTCAGTGTCTGTTGCCACTATTACAGCACCAGAAGGACCGATAACTAGAGTTCACCCTTCAGTGAAAACTGCTCTGTTATTATTTCGAGTGTGTTAATTGTGATGCAAAATACCCTCTTGCTGGTATTTCACAATACTAGGTCAAAATGATCTTGTCAGAAGTCTGACTGGAAACCTTACCCCTCCCTTCTGTTTCCTGTTGTTAAAGCCTGGGGATTGGAAGCCTGTAAACAGCCTGGCGTGCAAGTGAGACTTCACAGAAAGCGAGGACAAAATAGATTGCTGGTGTTTTGCTGCGACCAGATCCCTGATGGGAATGTGTAACCTGCTGACGCTTCCCTTAGGGGCAGGGAGAAACAGTCTTAAAGGTTTCCTGGAGGGATGTAACTTCCTATGAATTTAGGAAGGGTAAAAGCGATGTATTCCTCTCCGTGATACATGTTTTGGTCTGAATGAAATCCCTCTTTGTCCTGTTTTCTGCATCAGATTAGCAAAGCGGAATTGTTGGTTTATGCAGCAAAGCATTCTGATGTCTAAATGGGGCTGGATATATTGTCTGATCCCACTGCATCTTTCTAGGTAGCTACAAGTGCTGCGCTTATCACCTACCCCGCTGAGCCTTGACTTAGTGCCAGGAGCAGGCAGTGGAGGAGCTGACGGGAGACATGCACATATATATATCTGCCTTGCTGGTTCAGATCCCAGAGCTCTTCCAACTTGTCCAAGGGACGGGAATCTGTTCCTGTGCTCTGTTCCTGCCCCCTGTGCTTCAGGATTTGACCGTGGCGGCTGACAGTAGGAATGGCCCAGAGTGTATACTGACTGCCCAGATGGGGGGGTTTAGGGCTTTTTTGTTTGTTTGTTTGTTTTCTTACTGTCACTTAACCACCATCGCTCATCACTTCTGGGTTTTGCTTAGTTAGAAGTATCCCTGCTAGCCCTCCTGTAGGAAAATACAAGGAACTCCAGAACACCCTCCTTTTCAGGGTCTTAAAACGCTTAGCAGATGTTAACTCTTACAAGCTGCTCTGGAGGCAGGTAAGGCAGGTGAAAGAAAAAAAAATAATTAACTTCCTCAGGGTCACACAGCAAAATCAGATCCAGATACCTTTTCCAGGATTGATGTCTCCCAGCCCTGTGTGCAATCATGAAATTGTGTCTCTAAACAATACAGAGATGCTAGCAAAGTGCAAAGGGAAAACTCAGTCTCCAGTAAGCCTCCGTTGGGACTGGGGAGTTGTTTTGTTTGCTAGACTAGCGCAATGCTAATGTTGCTTGTGGCACACATCTCCAAGCGTCTTTCCCAGCCGTTTTTTGAGTATCTTTATGAAAACCAGGCTCATAGTATCAAGAGTTAGAATACATCTTCATCAAACCCTCAATGGAAAAAGCGTTGCTCTTTTTCCCTGTCCCTGCCCATGCACCGGATCTGCTTCTTTTCATAACATTAAGTGGTGTTCATATATATGTGCCATACAAGCAGTCATGTGTAAGTATGGCTTTCGGTGCTGATAAATGAGTCCTGTCCCTCAAGAACTTTTCTTGAAAAGCAACACCCAGGACTGGATCCAGTCCAGTGACAAATGTGAGGCTCTTTGTGCAGAGACAGCTGTATTTAGGCTGGAGCTTTGTTATAGAAGTGTCTGTATTGTAATTGTTTCGCACAGTAGCAGTGTCAAAGCAGCTGCAGCAATAGTCACTGCCTCTTGTGTATTTTGCTTTCCTCCTTGCACTGTAGATGTTAATATACATTTGTGGATTCTTGAACTCATATCCTTAATGTAATCCTAAATATCCATTTGAATGGATATTTCTCCCATTTGAAACGTGCTGTTTTTTTCTTTGTTTGTGTCCCCTCCATCTTTCCAGTCAAAAGAGCTACAGATAAAGAAGCAGTTTCAGGATACATGCAAGATCCAAACCAGACAGTACAAAGCACTGAGAAACCATCTGCTGGAGACCACGCCAAAGAGTGAACATAAAGCTGTCCTCAAACGGCTCAAGGAGGAGCAGACCCGGAAGCTGGCTATCCTGGCTGAGCAGTATGATCACAGCATTAATGAAATGCTCTCTACACAAGCTGTGAGTCGCCGCCGAGGGACCCAGGGTTCCTCAGCCAAATAGGGATGTTTGCATTTTAACCAATCTGTATCCTGACAGCAGGCTATCTGCTTCCCTGCTACATGCGCCATACCCAGCACAGTCATTCCTCTGTATTTAAAAAGCAGCATTCAAATGCAGAGGAAAAGAGGTATTACCCCCTTCAGGCAGGTTGAAGTTGAAGCTGCTGTTGCAGAGATGCAAAGTGATGCATCTGTGTGGCCAGAGGACTGCTTTTGCATGAAGTTTCACAACATAAACGTCCCTGTTAGAGCATCGTTAAATAATGTGCAGCTTGCTGTCTTAAGTCATTTAGGTTTTGATTTGTCAGTGATGCCAACCAAAGCATGTCCCACTGGTGGAAGATGCTCATTGAGTCATGGAAGAGTCCAGAGTTTTGACTGTAACTCTGAAAGAATGTTAAAAGTATTGTGAAAGTTATGTGATTCCTTCTTTAAGAGATTCCTTCTTTAAGGAATGACCACATGAGCAATGCTTTGACTCCTTGCTACAACTGAATGTGCAGTTTTCTTTGCGCTTCTTGCATATTGCGTCCTGCTCACATCACTCTGTACAAATTTGACGCTGTGAGGCAGGGTAGCTGGCTTAATTTATGTATGGGAAGGTTAAAAGTTCAGTATCATATTGCTTTTAGGTTTATGTCATTATATTCTTTCTCCCAAAGTCTTGCATTGGCAGGGGTATGGACTTAAGTCTCCTGCATACAGGTAGTTGGTGAATCCAGCTGAACAGAGCAAGAGATCTTCTCTTTGCCTCTAGCAAAAGGAGAGCTGTGGATGTTAGCACCTCCAGCAGTCTGGTCTCTGCCGTATGGATCATGGTTCTGAGGCACCACTGCTCATCAGCATCGCTCGCATCAGTGCTGTGGGCTCACTGTCACCAGTCTTTGTCACTATAGGTCCTCTGTTCAGTGAAACGAAGTACAATAGAGACCAATTGTATTGCTAAGAAAACAAAGTCCCATCCCATTCTCTCCCCCTCCTCGCAGTCCTCCCCCAGAGTGTCGTGAGTGGTTACCCCATAGTGAAACGTCTCTATTGTCTGTCTTTTCCCAGCTGCGTTTGGATGAAGCACAGGAAGCAGAGTGCCAGGTTTTGAAGATGCAGCTGCAGCAAGAATTGGAGCTACTGAATGCATATCAGAGTAAAATCAAGATGCAGGCAGAAGCCCAGCATGATCGGGAGCTGCGTGATCTTGAACAGAGGGTATCCCTCCGTCGGGCCCTCCTTGAGCAGAAGGTAAAATGAGCAGGCGAGCATCATTAGCGTGCTCCATATATCAGATCTTAAATTGCACTGTACTTTAAATGGAGAGAGAAATTGCCTTTGCCTTGCTGTGTATAGTAACACAGATCATTTGGGTATTTGCCTCTCTGGGATGATAGCTCAGTGACACAAAGGCTAAACTTTCTGCCAGCTCAGCCGTCCTGTGTGAGCAGCTTCTGGCTGGGATAGAGCTGCTTGAAGCGTGCCAGAGGGAGCTGTGCCTCTCTGGGCAGAAGGGAAAGTGAACTGTTCTTTCTGTCTCTGAGCTGCAGATTAGCTTCCCGGCTCATTAGAGGACAGACAATAACAACCTAAAGCTAGCGGGGGGCTTTTGGAATTCGTGTAGTATCGGTAATAGGTGTCTTTGGGGATGGGGGGGGAAAAAAGGTAAAATGTATTTGAGACCCCGTGTTCTATGGTAATATTATTTTACTGCAGATCTGCTCCATTTGTCAGTCTGTGGAGACCAGGCTGCAGTTTCCTTGTGAAATTATGCTTGTTTTGTTTTTGCCCTAAGCAAACTGAAGCAGCCAGACCCACAGCCATGGGTGACCTGCTGCTCCCTAGATTTCAGCTTGTAATTGTCCACGTGTATTAAGGTGCTCCTTGTTGAAGTGTGCTTTTCTATCCAGTGCCAGACACATGGTGTGTATAGAAATGTGAGTGGCCTACACCAGCCCAGGGAAGGGTAATGCACCAGTGAAGGGAAATTACGCCATCAGCCTTCCTCCTGCAAATTTTTTCCCCTTTGATTTGCCCTGTGGGTGCCAGCCATCGCCATTCACGCAACAGTTCCCAACTTTGCTGATCGGCGGTTATTAAATTAGGGCGATTACTCTGTGGCCTCGAGGTTTTTCACGCTTAACTTCTCCCAGAGGCTAACAGATGACGCTGGGCTTGATAGAGGGCCCTTGTCAGAATAAAACTGCTCCACCTCACGGTCGGCCGAGGAAGCATCTCTGAGAAGACAGTACAGTCCTATTGTGCTTTGGTCTCCTGCAAGTGGACTTGAGTCTCTGGAAGTAACTGAATTTGTGAAAATAGTGTTCCCATGTGGCTCTCCCATGTGTAATAGCTGTCTTTAGACCCCATCGCTAGTTATTTTGCTCCCATCTGGAAGAGGACAGCTCCAGTCACAGCCCTGCATTTGAGTATATGTTTATGCTGGGTGTGCATTGCCCTCTGGCGGCATGATCCAAGGAGAGCTCTGGGAAGAAGTGTGCCACAGCGAGCCTGCTGCTGGGCATCGCTCCTTGTCTGTGGGAGCAACATATATTGCATTGCACGTAGTGTTACGTTAAAGGTTGAAGTGAGGCCAGTGACTTAAGGGGACACACATCAACCAATAATAATGTCTTTCAGTGTGGACCAGGATTGAAGTCTCTGTGCATAGAAAGCCCCTGTGAAACATTTGGCATCAGTAATGGTGATAGGAAGCTTAGCAATGCTACATCATAGGAAAAAAAAAGATAAAATTAAGACCCAGCGTAACTTTTCCATCTGTGTTTGTGTGCCTTGTGTGTCCCTATGTGACTACTGCATTAGAATAGCAAAAGATTGGATGGTCCTTCAGTTTCCATAGGTGGGAGCCTTCATTTAGCGATACATGCAGTGCTAGTGCATTGCACTCACAAAGTCACGGACCAGCGACGAGACTCTGTTTCTTGCTGGGGTTACGGTCACTTAGTGGCAGCTGAAGGGAAAACGTGGGTGCAAAGGTAGATGCATCCCCCTTTTGCAAGGGTATTCTTTGGGGGGGGGGGTGTTCTGGTTTTGTAAGAATTAAGAGTTGCGAGTACTCTGGTGTGGGTCGCTCAGCGATGTCACCTGGTGTTTGCTTGCATGTCCTAACCGAAACTGGCAGCCAGAGAAAGGGCAGGTATGCAAGCAAGGTGAATGTCTGAATTTATATTCACAAATATATACATAGCCTGTGGCAAAGTCAGTCCCTGATGTTCAATAATAAACCAGATTCCAGAAGTTAGGGTGTGCATAGGACTCTGCTTCCTTCTCAGTACAGCGCTCTTTATTTCTGATGGTGCCCATCACCATAGTAACCCACCAGAGCACACGCGTCTGACTTAGGCTAAGGAGGGAGTAGCCAGCCCCATCAATGCACAGCCTTTAAGTGCCAGTGACTGAGGCGCTGTACAGGCTCTACCCCGATGCTGTGTTGTTTGTGTTGCACCAGTAATGAGCATGTCCCAAGAGTGCCTTTAAAAGACTTCAGATTTACTCATTTCCTTCCCACATGCCTCAGACACCTCATCTTCAGAGTCCTGCAACCTGAGGTCGTTTCTAAGTGATGTCATTTTAATGTGGCGTGTTAGGCATGCCTTTCTGTGAAGTTCGGTTGCAGTAAGACAGTGTGTCACGCTGTCACAAAGCCTGAAGGCTGAGCAGCTGGACATGCTGAAGACACTGTAGTTTTGAAAAAGGAAGGGGAGGATTCTGCTTAGATAGCAGGACTGGAAAAAACAAGTGGAGCATTTTAAAGAGCTAACGTTAGAGAAGGCGCTTTCTTCCACTTCTGCCTTTTCCAAGGCAGCTGACCACTGCGTGGCTTTCAGCAGGAGTGAGGAAGGCTGCTCTGTGGAGAGAGTCAGTGTCACTCACCTAGCACGAAGAAACAGGCAAGCGGATAAGGCAGTTTCTGAAAGCCCCAAATGGCTCAGGAGATGACTCACGCTGGAACAGATTGTTTCCTAAATTCCAGATGAAATCACTTTGCATATTCCCTGACTAAGGCAAGAGAGTGCTTACAAGTACAAGCTCTGCCCAGTACCTTCAGCACAGACCAAGATAACACCTCTTGGCCACGTTGCTGCTGACAGCAGGGGAGATGCCAGTGAGCTATGCTAAAAGTCTTGGCTGCTGCTTTTTACCCATTTGGTCTTTTTCACCGAGGCCAAAAGTAGCTTTTTCAGTGCTGGCAAGAAGATAATGGAGCGGTTCTTTGGTTTTCCACCTGACTGCAAAGATTTCAATAAGAAAGTCTTTCATCCCTGTCTGATGGGTGTCATGGGGGCTGTAGCCCCATGTTTTCTGTACTTGGAGAGCTGATCCCAGTGCCCCTACCAAAGTACCGTTGGAAACCGATTTGGAGCAGTGTTACAGGGAAGAAATTGGAGTTGCCAGCTTGCATATCATCTAGCTAATAATCTGCCATGCAATTCAAACATCACTTACTGCTTTCTTCAGCCACACACCCTGGAGAAAGTATCAGGGTAACGAAACAGGAGAAACCAATTTAGGAAAGGGGTAGATAGGAGGTGATAAACAGGAGCTAAGAAAATCTGTCCAGTGAACACTGGAGAGGAAACTGCATGTGGGCTCGTACATTGAATCCTGGAGAAAATAGCAGTTGTCATCATCAGATTCAGCTACAAACAGTGAAGGTCACACTAAGCTGTGCTGGCAGGTATTTGACTGTACAGGCACTGTGCTTGGCTGTATCTGAAGGTGCTTTCCCAATAGGCTTTTATGGAAGCTGTAGACTTTGCTGCATTTTGAAAGATTAACCTATGTCAAGCTGTTAATATGACTGCAAACTTTGGCCTTGCACCCCTAGAACTTCTGTAATCACCAGGGAACGGGGACCAAAACCCTCCAACTGGTGTTTGCCGTGCTTTGGCATGTGCAGGTCTATGGACTTATCCTTTGGCATTCAGAACAGATTGTGTGTCCGTGGACAGCTGATCGAGATCCAGTCTCATGTGGAAACATGGGGAGAAGGTTTCTCGTTAGCTTGCTGTTACAAGTCCTTCAGAGAGTTGAGGCCATGCCTGTAAAGGAGTCCTGCTGCTACAGACTTGTCTCTTCTTTTTTCCTTCCTAGATTGAGGAGGAGATGCTGGCGTTGCAGAACGAGCGTACCGAACGGATACGAAGCCTGCTGGAGCGTCAAGCTCGCGAGATCGAAGCCTTTGACTCAGAAAGCATGAGGCTAGGTTTTAGTAATATGGTTCTTTCTAATCTCTCCCCCGAGGCGTTCAGCCACAGCTACCCGGGAGCTTCTGGCTGGTCCCACAATCCTACTGGGGGTGCAGGACCTCACTGGGGTCATCCCATGGGTGGCCCACCACAAGCTTGGGGCCATCCAATGCAAGGTGGACCCCAGCCATGGGGTCACCCCTCGGGGCCCATGCAGGGGGTACCTCGAAGTAGTGCTATAGGGGTCCGCAACAGCCCCCAGGCTCTGAGGCGGACAGCTTCTGGGGGACGGACGGAACAGGGCATGAGCAGGAGCACAAGTGTTACTTCACAAATATCCAATGGTTCACACATGTCTTATACATAACTTAAACAATAACTGAGGGTGGCAATTCCACTGGAGCTGTCTGCCAACAGAAACTGCCTACAGACACCAGCCCAGCAGCCTCCTCAGTGCGGTGCTGACGTGTGGAAGCTGGGTGCACATGGAATATTGTATTCATTTTGTAAAGCATTACGTTTTGTGTTTACTAACTGGGATGTCATAGTATTTGGCTGCAGGGTTTGGGGGGGTGGTTTTTTTGGTTTTTTTGTTGTTGTTTTTTACTTTTTGGAGGGGTCTTGGGAGGGCATCTGAGAAATATATGCAATTAGTCAGAAGAGTTGGCTGGTGGTCGTCACACTGACAGGACAGAAGGGCCTCAGACTGCCCTCGTCACACCATCCCTAGGAAGTCTGAGGGAGAATGGAGACCTTCTCCCATGTCCATAAATTTCGAACTGCCACCCTGCAAAAACCAGGCGAGCTGCCTTTAAACCAACATCCAGGGGAGGAACAGCTGGATCTTCTGTTCCATTTTTATTTGTCATTAAATTGGATACATTTCTAGGATATTGCCTCTGCCAAGAGGCATTTTCAAAGACTTGTAGGTGAGGAAGAAGGGTGAGAAGAGAGGCCAAGAGACACCAGGGCTCAGCCGGGCCCTTCTACCCAAGTGCCCGCTCCGTGTCGTGTAAGAAGTGACGTTCTCTCAGAAGGCACTGGTCAGCTTCCCGAGAAGCATGTAGGTAAACCTGTCTGGAGGGAACGGGCTAGAAATCTTCGAAATTGTATTCCTGCTTTGGCACTCCCTGACTGTGCTGCTGGTAGCTCAGATGAGGTTGGGCAGAGGAGCGCAAGTAATGCACTTGTACAGCTAATACTGTGACATCTCATTTTAGCTAAGCATCAGAATAATTATTGGAGCCCAGCGTAGTCCTTTTTGCTCCATTCAGAAATGTTTAGACTTTCAGCCAATCAGTCTCAAATGCCAGAGGTATTTTGAAGGATGCCATAGTCGCAAAATGCCATTGATTGGGTTTTTCATTATTACACTACATCCACCAATTTGTTACCTTTTTGGCTTGTTGCAGTTTCCTGTTTACATGTAGAGCGTAGCCAACTGTTTAAATGTTTAGTTGCCACAGTGTACCAGGAGGAGCTGAGCCAATGACTTTCCCAGCTGATGACTAACCCACATCACCACTGTAGATCTTGCTGCATGTGAGGCTCCTTTTTATTATTTTCGTTGCTGCAATACTTCACAACTTTTACAGTCCCTTGAGATGCTGTGATATTTTGGCAGCGTATCACACCATACGAGAAGGCACTACTTCCAGAGGCTCGGTGGAGCTGCTGTACTACTGAAAGGAAGCAAAGGAGGTCGTGAAATCCATACGGTGATAGGGGGGTCAGGGAGTCTAATTAACCGAATGACTTTGTGGCATCATGTCATTCCTTAGTGCTGGGAACCGGAGCTGCCCCCATGCTCTTGTGCCGGTGCCAGGGCAGTCTGGGTCAGCCAGCACTGGGGCTAGGGAAAG